GTCATTCATTTTCCAGCTCCAAGGCAGAATTAAATACTTGGCTCATATGTGACCCAAATCAGTCTAACCTGCTCTTAAAAGCCTTTTAATATCTGAGGTATTATAACCCTTGCTGCAGGTTGAGATGATTATTTTTTTCTATGTAAAAGTAATATCAGCTTTCTGTAAAAATCATTTATGTATTTGAAGGCTATTACGTTTCCCTCAGTCTTTTTTTTTGTTCTTGACTAACCACACCCAATTCCTCCGGTTTCCTCTAATAATGCAGATTTTCTAAACTTCAGTTATTTAAAATGTCTCCATATTGATTGCAAACGTTTTAAGGCAGGTCCCCAAAAGCAGATATGATATTCCACCTAGGATCTCAAAGGTACCAAGTGCAGGAAGGTGACTCATCCTTCTGCCTTCCATGAAACTGCTCTGCTGCCCTACGCCAGACAGGTATCTGCCTGGTTTTGTTACCAGTAGTATGTGACACTACTCACGCATATTTGGCCTGCGATCCATCTTGCCTGGCCATTGTTTCTCACTTTGTTCATTGAGTGTTTCCTTCCCAAGCATGGTACTTCCCTCTCGATAGCTTCTGTATCTCTTCCTTTTGATTTTAGACAGCTCCTCCATTTGGATGTCAAATCCCATCTTCCAAAATAATTCCAACTCTTCCTGCATAGGAGCTGTTCACAAATTGTTCAGTTTGCTGAACTGTTCAGTTTGCTGTTCAGTTTGTTCTAGCCCACCATCAAAGTTATTAATTAAATTTTTCCACAGAAACAGATGTAGGGTGGGTCCCAAGAGCATCCCATTTGAAATGTATTCTGATTGGACAGTGAATCACTGATCCATTTTGAGAATGACTTTTTTTCCATATTTTTAGCTCTATTTACTTATCTTACTTAGCTGGAGATGTCTTCTCCAGCTACCCTGTCTATTGGGATGATTACCCTGTCAAAGACAGAAAGCAGATTGGCTTGTTCCTGACAAATACGTGTCGGCTGTTTCCCATTACATTAGTATTCTGTAGGTTTAAATAATTTATTCTATTTAAATTAGATTATTTAAATGATTTATTCTAGTATCCTTGCATAAATCTAAGTTAGGCCTTGATGTCCTTTCTCTCTCTTTTGGAAACAAGTATTACGTTTGCTCTTCTTCACTTGCTGGAGATCTTACAGATAATCTGCTAGTTCACAGTAGTTTAAGATTAATTTCATGATTTCCTAACAATTTGTCTAACCTAATTTATCTCAATATTCTTTAAGAAGCCATTTCCTTTTTATAGTCTAAACTCTTGTCCTCTGGTTAAAACTCTACTAACTTGTTCATGACTACTATTAACTTTTTGTTAAGACCAGAGAAAAATGCAACTCCTCCTGTTATCTGTTATTTGCTCTTCTTTACTTTTTGTTTTCCTCTTGCTTTGTATGCAGTTAGAAAACCTTATCCTAGTTCTAATTCATGTTATGCTGTAGTCATCCTGACTTTGGTTCTTCGCACCATCCCTTATAACTATTGATAGTTATGTTTTTGATGATTTCTTTTTAATTTCTATGGCATTAAAGAGGTCCTGATGCTGTCATATCAGACCTCGTTCTACTCTGCTTTCCACTGGGACAGATTTCTTGTTGTGCCTTTAATATTGCTTCTTTTAGGGAATATAATTTTCTGACCACAGTGCCTTTTTGTTGGAAAAAGTTAAAAACCTGTTAGAATGTAACCCCTAGGAAAAACAGAATTTAGGAGAACTGGCAGGTAGTGATGATATACTTATCTGACAAAACTTAGTGCTATGCAGAAATAACCAAGGTTGCACAGAAATATGAGGTTTCTTTATGAGGTAAAGAAAGTATATCATGATGGCATTGCAATGTTGTGTCCATATATTAATTGGCACAACAGTGCAATATAACTACACTGATATGATCTGATAATAATGCTTGGTTTCATCTTGCTTAGTGTCTCATTGCATTTTACCATGAAGACAGAACCTTCTATAGTAAGGAAACTCTCCTGCATCTTTTATTTGGACTTCTTTTTTCCCCAAGAGACTCTTCTAACTTGTAAACTTTAAGAATTACACTATTTGCAATTACGCAGACCATTTTCTCAGACAGTGTAAATTAGAGGACTAGACAGGTTTACGTCCCTTAGGTTCCCCTCACTTTCTCTGTTGAATTACCAAATGACTAAAAGATCACAGATTAAAGCAAAGTTAATTTTCACATATTGGTATTAACACCAAGGAAAGCCATTTGATGCTCTTCACTCCAGAAACCTTTTTTTCCCACTGGGATGAAGAGTCTGATCAGATATTTCAGTAATATAAAATAACTTTACTGACTTGAGTATCTGACTCCTAATAGGAGAGGAAAATGTGATGTCTTCACCTTTGCATTTGGAGGAGAGAAGTTACTTATCTAAATTAACAGAAAAAACTGCTTCTTATCCCTTGCCCATCTCAGAGTCCAAGAGCTCAGCATATACAAGATTTTATTAACACAGAACGTGTCCCTTCCATATAAAGGAGAAAGCTACTTTGACAGAGGTAAAGTCATGCTAAAAAATCAGTCCTGCGTTATGATTTGGAACAATTGCTTAGCCAAAGTGGAAATGTAAGTGCCAGTCCTCTTTCCACTACTGCAAGTGGCAAAAATCCTACTTATTTCAATAGTACAGGAATGGCTTCATCATGCTAACAATAACAAAGCTATCGGTATATGGCAAAGGGGATGATTTCTGTTGTTCACTGATATTAAACCTCAAGTAAAATTATGCTATGAATACACAGGGGAAGTGGGTCTGATTTCTTTCTTAAGGTTGTGAAAACATTGTGGAATGAAATGAATACTCACAGTGGCAAATGTGTCTCCCTGAACAGAAAGTTAAGCATTTGAAAGCAGTACATTCTAAACTTTTGCTGATATATCATGTCCAGATTTGTTTCTTGTCAGTACAGCTTATTCCATTCATGGAACTGGCAAAAATCCTTCATTACATATGCATATGCAATAGATGTCGAGTACAAGGAAAAATCATCAAGTTAGGCTTGTTGACACTCCTCTTCTGCCAATATTTCCTACTACAAACCTGGCTTTAGAACACTTGCAGAAATTTCTTGCCTTCTTTGACAATCTCCTGAAGATTAAGAGAACACATGCTTACCCAAACTATAGTGCATATATATACTATACTACCATTATACTATATACTAGTATATAGTATAATTATTTGAAGCTTTATAATGCATCTGAACCATATTTTTCAGCAATAATAAGGAAACATAATCACTACTATGGTTCATGCATGATCTGTGATGGTAAGGGCTGTAACAGAAATAACTTTGTCATTTGAAGTCATGTTATAGTGCTGAAAGGACCACGGTCCATAACCACGCGTTCTACCTGTCGCCCAAGTGTCCTTCTGAATTCCTCACTGATTCCAGCTTCTCGCACAACAGCCATGCAAACAGGGCTTTCAGCTTGCCATGGATGGGAAGGTCTGAGTAGTTCTGCATCTCCAGCAGCAACCTCAGCCCAGCTACTCTGCTTTTCTCTAGGCTGTTCACAAGTATTCCTGGGGCACAGATTCTTTTGTGTCGGACAACTTCTGAACATCGCTACGTTCCATTTTCAAGAAATCTAGCTTGTCCTTCACTTCCTTACCCTGGATTTCCAGGGAATGCC